GGGTGTTAAATGATGCTTTATGATCACATTAATCTTTATAAACTAAATGCACAACTTGCCTTTATACATAATAAAATTTAATATTTATGTTTTTTAGGCACTTTAGTAAATTCGGATCCCTCCATATATATATATATATATATTTGGAGCTTTGCACACCTCAAAAGTAATGCACGTTATGTTTAAAGTTAAAATTTGTTCAACGTCAAGTAAGGCAATTTTGAAGCTTAAAGCAGAAGAGGGTGAGATAAAAAATGAATATTTACATTTATCTTCTTTAGAATAACTATTTCAAGGCCTTTACATCTCTTTTTTCTAATTTGCTGAACTCTTGGTTAACATTTTGAAAATTAAAATTCATATGTAATAAGAAATATTAAAAAGCAGTTGATGCAACTACCATTTTCAAAAGGGTTATTTAGCTTATAATTTTTTTATATTTACATTTCAAACATTTAAATTCTTATACTTATAAAAATAATCTTCAAATTCTCCACATCACATCATTGCACATAATTAACGGTCAAAAACAAGCCAGCAGTTACTTTTTAGGGTGCATGATAACATAAAGATATTGTACTGCTAAAGTAAATAAATTGCACAGGAACTTTTTTTGGGGCTCATTTCTTATATTATAAAAAAACAAGAATAATAACCTAAATAAAAATTAAAATAGTAAATTTTCTTAATTAGTCCTACTTAATAATTAATCCACGAATCCGGGTCCATAAATGCTGATATTTACATATATTTTATAAATTATCATTCATTATTTCAAAAAAAAGAGGTGCCGAAAGGATCAACGGTTAAAAATAGCAGACAGTTAGACAGAGAAGGCACGTGCATTCTCTCTCTATTCAGCTGTAGCTGTGGGAAAGAAAGCAAAGCTCGGAAAACTAAAATATGGAAGGCAATGAATGCTTCGGCAATGGTACTCGTGTCCTGTACGTACCTTCCCGAGTTTTGCGACCTTCGAGAGCATTCGTACGAGCAATAGTACCACGGGAAAACAGAAAAGAACGCTGTGCCCGCGCCAGAAAACGGCCTTCAAGATTTCCTTAAGCATACTTATTACATAAAAAACATCACCCCCTTCTGCTCTTAAAAATAAAATAGGATATTTACATACGTACCAACCTATACTTGTGTATTTATATGTTGAGATATAACTATTTTTAACTTTAAGAAATTAAATATTTATTTTCATGTATCAATAAGAGACAAAAGTTAATTTTTTTTTGTTTTGAAGATGTAAATACATAAGAATTGAGTAGTATGTAGGTTGATTTTCCAAATGAAATACCTCTAGACATAATTAATGTAAATATCAAAAAGTTTTAAGATGTTTGATGTATGAATATATAAGAATGTGTGGTATGTATAAAAATTTTTAAAAAATTTTAGAAATATTTATTACATATCACTCAATTTTTATTTATTTAAATATTTAAAATTCACAATCTTCAAACCATAATTACATGCCACTTTAGCACGCATAAAAATGCATGTTTCGCTATTGGAAAGTTAAACGTATATATTTTCGTATCAAGCAAAGATTCAAACATATTCCCTTCTTGCATGTGAGAAATTGAAAGATAAACAAAACAAGTTAGACGGTTTAATTATGAACAACAATTGATATGTTATCAACAAATATTTTCATCCAACACAAATCTCAAAGTATAATACGAATCTCAAGATAATTTTTTGAGCAAGAAATATCAAACTTTGATAAAAGGTCATTTGAAAGTTTTATTTCAGCAAACTTACCGTCAAACTTATCGGCTCAACAAGATGGACCCAATGATACATTCGTCCAATCCTAGTCAAATCAAGTCATGATCAAAATATTAAACCGCCTTTGAAAGCTTCCTAAGCATATTTAGAAGGTCAAACATATGTCAAATCTGACGAAACTATAGTTGAATAAAGTGTCTCAAAAAGATGAATCCAACAAGCCTAAGATCTCTCAATTTCGACGCAGTTAAGACACCTAAATGCCTATCAAACACCGTTTGATCGAGGGAAGCTCTTTGGGTTGTCCGAGCAAAATGATTTGTATTGCTACATAAATTACACCCAGTACACTATAAATAGAGTCTCACTCCTCTCATGAGGGGGCAGGAGAGCTTGAGGCTTTAAAGAAGAGCTTGAAGCTTAGAGAACAAGCTGAAGTCCAGCATCACTTCTCCAGCCATCCACCACTGTTGACTGTCGTCGACCGCTGTTGACCATCACAAACCGCCGTCGACCACCACCAACCTTCGTCAACTACCACTGCTACTAACTGTCAATCGCTATCGGTTGTCATCCGTATTTTGAAACAAGTTCATCCGCATATCGATGTTGTAATTCGAGAGACTATGTACCTACGGGACAAAGGGTCTCTGTAAACATTAACTTATAGTGGATTTTAACAATTTGATCAGACCCCGTGGTTTTTTCCCTTTACGAGTTTTCCACGTAAAAACTGATGGTGTAACTATTAGTTGTTTTCTTTCTGCTGAGTGTGGATTGGATTCCCGTGTAATTCTAAGACGATAATTTATTATTTTACTGTCACGAATCTTCAACATATATCAATCATAAACATATAATAAAAATAAAAATTTATAAGAATAAGAAAAAAATTAATTGGAAATTTTGATACAAGGAAATCACGACATTTTATGTAGTTGAATTAACTTTGACGAGCAGTTGATATAAATTATAATCGGTTGTTATTTCTCAAACAACGAAGATGACAATATAAAGTAGGTAAAGTTAAGTTTTTTTTTATTATTTCTGGTAGTCGTGATATAAGGAAATTGGTTAGGCTGATTAGGTTAGCCGCGCTAGACCTCTCTGGATGAAGGACTCACGTGTTCTTTAAAGGATAAATGGTAAAATGTCAAATGTGAAATAAGTCACATTGGACAAGTAAAGTGATCATCCCAATAAATTATATATCATATTAGCTGAAGATGATGATGAAAAGAACATTCGAGATTGTGTTTGAGACAGTTGTTTGATTAAGTTGTGCATTGCCAGATTTTTTTAATGATGTGGTCTGAAATCGTATTTTGCAATATGATTTAGCTAAATACGATAGCTGGCAGAAAGTTATAATTTCAATTTTTTTAAAATAAAATAAATTTATAATAACTGTCATAATTTTTTTAGCAAAAATTATTTATGTAACAGCTTGATAGCTGCTTTTTCAAATAGTTATTGATGCTTCAAACAAACCCTAAATGACTCAAACTCATCACTATTAGCCAATACAATCCCAAACTTCGGACTAGAAGGTACTTGGAGGCAATCAATATAATCCCTTATTAAAAAGGGTTACCTAACTGTTTAAAAGCCAACTAATGTGTGGAAGAAATGAAGAGCATCCTTATTCTCAATAATGGTATATAGATTGAATGACATAAAGTCATTGAATGATAGAAGGGCGTCTAGAAAATCATATGTTAAATTCAAATGATAACTTGAAATTTTGTATGACCTAAAGTCAATTGAGTAGGTAAAAATTAGATTAGATAATGAGATAGTTTGAAGAACTCTACTCTTATAGAGAGGGGCAGACTGAATAGCCCAAAGCCTAATTATGTAACATTAATTTAATGAAATATATTTTCAAAAAACTTTCAACAAAATATGATTATCGGATTAACAAGAAGAAATTTTTTTAAGATATATATAGTTATTACTTGTTTCTTATATAGTTATTTTTATTTGTTCAATAACAATCAAGCAAAAACTTGATAATATTTGGATTGAACAACTTTAATAAATACCTAAAGCTCTTTTTTCAAAATTATATGATGATAAAAATAATCAATGTGATGTGTGCTAGAAGATTAGCTGCGGTAGGGTAATGGATTATCGCCTTAGAGTTGTACGAGAATTCGTCACACTCAGATGTAAAAAAATAACCGCTAGAGTCATCAGAAGTTTTTATGTGGAAAACCCTCGAAAGGGGAAAAAGTTATGGGGTCTAGCCCAACTGAAGATATCAACTATAAATTAAAGATTCTAAGTATAGTTCATTATCGTCCCACAAGCAGAAAAATGTTACACAATCTTCCAAGCTATAAAGTCAGTGCACGGATGAACTTCTCTTAAGAAGTGAGCGATGCTCGATGCTCACGCCGACGATTGACGAGTGATGGTCAACAGGAGAGCGACTCATGGTCGACGGAGGTCGGCGGCTGGTGGTCGACAGCGATTTGCAACTGGTAGTTGGCAGTGAAGTGACACCTATAAATTAAAGATTCTAAGTATAGTTCATTATCGTCCCACAAGCAGAAAAATGTTACACAATCTTCCAAGCTATAAAGTCAGTGCACGGATGAACTTCTCTTAAGAAGTGAGCGATGCTCGATGCTCACGCCGACGATTGACGAGTGATGGTCAACAGCAGAGCGACTCATGGTCGACGGAGGTCGGCGACTGGTGGTCGACAGTGATTTGCAACTGGTAGTCGGCAGCGAAGTGACATTGGACGTCAGCTCCTTCTCCATGTTTCTAGCTTACTCCCTTTTCAAGAGAGGGGAAGGGCTCTATTTATAAAGTTCTGATTGCAATTAATGCAAAAATATGAATCACTTTGATCGGATGGTCCGGAGAGTTCTTTTTTATCTGACGACGTTTGATGGACATTTTAGTGCCTAAACAATGTTGAAATTGAGAGACCTTGACTTTGTTGGATACTTTCTGTGGAGATGCTCATTTCGACTATAAGCTCGCCAAATTTGATATCCATTTAACCTTTCAAATATGCTCAAAAAACATCTAAAATTGATTTAATGACTTGATCTGAACTTGATTTGACTC